CTTACCTTTTCTTCAGTCTACTAATTCTAGCATATTTCCTTTTGAATTAGTTTATTCAGACGTATGAGGTCCTTCCCCTACTATCTCTACTCAAGGATATAAATACTACATTTCCTTCATTTATGATTTTTTCAAGTTCTATAGGGTCTACCCTCTATTTAATAAATTCTATGTAATATTTAAATTCATAGAGTTTCACAATATGATCTCTCCTCAATTCAATGCTAATATTAAAATATTTCATTTAGACGGCAGTGGTGAATTTATCAACAATAAATTTAAGCTCCTTTGTAAAAAAAAATGGGACATAGTTCTTTAATACGCATTCCCTTATACTCCATCCCAAAATGGAGTCGCCGAAAGAAATCATCATCACATTTTGGAAAATGTTGGTAGTTTACTCATCGAAGCTAACCTTCCCCAATCCCTATGGGTTGATGTGCTCCACACCTTTTTATATCTTATAAGTTGTCTACCCACTCGCTCTCTTCAACATCACAGCCCCTATCACATTCTATATTAATAACCGGCATCATATAATCATCTCAAAAATTTTGGATGTTTGTGTTATCCCTGGCTTCGCACCTACTCTACCAACAAACTCTCACCTCTCTCCATACCCTACATTTTTATTGGCTATGCATCTTCTCATAAGGGTTATCTTTGTCTTAACCCCACAAAAGGACAAATTTATACCTCTAGGCATGTGATCTTCAATGAAGCCATTTTTCCTTACTCACACGTTTCCCCCAACGCCTCATTCAAGTCTGATCCCAGTTTCATTCCTCCTCTCATTATGCTTCCTACTTCTATCACAATCCTAGCCACCACACCAAACCCATTCCCTCAATCCAACAGCTTCCCAAGCGTCAACCTACCTCGACCTCCAATCCTGAAAACCCTTCGTCCGTGATTTCTCCTCAAGAATCCAATCCGCCCACTATTTCCCTTCCCATTTTGCTACCTACCACCCATCCTATGTAAACCAAGTATAAAACTGGTCATATCAAACCTAAAACTATCTTTAATCTGTTTCATCATGTTATCCCTCAAGACCCACCACCTATACTGAAACTGTCAAATAAGAACACTAGCGTGCAACCATGTCTCAAGAATTCCAAGCACTTCAATCTCAAGGTACTTGAAATCTAGTTCCACCTAATCTAAATCAAAACGTGCTTGGTTGTCAATGGACATTTCGCATAAAGTATCTAACCAATGGAACCACTGCTAGGTACAAAGCTAGATTGGTCGCCCAAGGTTTTAATCAAGAATATGGCCTTGATTACTCTGAAATCTTTAGTCATGTAGCTAAAATACCCACTGTCCGCATTCTTTTGGTTATCGCCCTTCATCATGCTTGGCCCATCCATCAGCTTGATGTTTCTAATGCCTTTCTTCATGGCCATCTTAATCATACAGTTTATATGAAACAACCAAATGGATTCACCTATGCTATTCATCCAAATTACGTGCATGTGTCATCTGAGAATGGAGCTATATGGCCTTAAACAATCTCCACGTGAATGGTTTGTCAATCTCTCTGGCTATCTTCACACCCTTAGATTTCGGTTCAGCTCCTCCGACCCTTCCCTTTTCATCTATAACAACAATAGCATTTCTATGTACTTCTTGGTTTACAACGATGATATCCTCCTCACCTGTAATTTTACCAAGAGCATCAAGAAACTCCTTGATACCCTCAACTCCAGGTTTACTATGAGAGATCTCGGCTCTTTATCTCAATTTTTGGGCATCCAAGTTGTCCACAAGTCCTACAGGCTTCATCTCACTCCAAGTCGGTTTGCTCAAACAATTCTCTCCAGTGCCAATATGTTAAAATGCAAACCTATCTCCACTTCTCAAATTAAAACATATCATACTAATTCTAATTCTACTGCATTTTCAAATCCTTATTTATATCATCAATTTGCTGGCTCTCTTCAATATCTCACATTAATGAGATTGGACATATCATTCGCCATCAACAAGGTTTGCCAACATATACAAAATCCTTCAAATATCCACTTTGAAGCACTCAAACGTCTCTTGAGATATATTAAAGGAACATTGCACATTGGTTTACCTCTCTTTCATGAAACTCTCACACTACATTCCTATACAGATTCAAACTGGGCCAGAGACTCTACTGACTGAAATCAATCACAGGCTAGTGTAATTTTCTTGGCTCATCTCTTATCTCTTGGAGCGTCAAGAAACAAAACATCGTAGCTCGCTCGTCCACCGAAGTCGAGTACCGTGGCCTAGCGGCTGCTGCCACATAAATTGTTTAGATTCGACGCCTGCTCCAAGAGCTCAACTACTTTCATTCCACTGCCACTTCCCTCTTCTGTGATAACACCTATGCCATAGCCTTAGCCAACAATCTCGTATTCTACGCACATACGAAGCATATAAAGGTGGACTGCCATTACATCAGAAACTGCATCCAAAACAAAACCATCTAATTTCATCACATTTCTATCAAAGACCAGCTCACCGACATTCTAACTAAACCTTTCTCCATCTCTATGTTTAATCTCTTATCAAACAATCTGGTTACTCCTCAAGACACACCAGCTTGAGGGGACCTCATAATATATGTCTGGTTGCTCCTTCAGACGGTTATCAAGAAAATACTTGTCAACTTCCTACTAGTTGTATTTTTGTAATTTGTTTCATAGCTTATATATATATATATACACTAGTTTTTTTTTTTTTTTTTCTTTTATGTTATTCTTCCTCCTATCTTCTCCGCTTTGGTGGCATGATGAAGTCTTTCAGTAATTATTAAAACATTATATAATCTATCTATATTGACATGAAAATGGATGTCCTAATCAACCTTTATCCACGCAATTAAAACTTTTAATTGCATTAATTTATATGATTTTTATTTATTTAATTAAGAAAATTAAAATTGAAGATAAATTTAAATTACATAAAATAGAACAAATAATATAAAATTAATTATTTGAAAAAATAAATATAACGAATCCTAAAAAAAATACGATGATGATTGCCTACTTAATTAATTAATCAAGTTTGAGTTCGAGCTCGAGCTTTATTCTATCAGTTTGAGCCAGCTCATTTAATATGAAATAGAGAAAATAATTATGATTCAAGATAATTTTGAAGTACTCCATCAAATGGCACATACTGATTTGCTCTATTATAGAACATTCATTAAACATTTAATTTCCTTAATGATGTCGAAATTAAGTGTTTTTAGGCACGTTGGAATTGTCTCATCGCACCGCTCTATTCGACTATAAACATGCTATATTTAAATATAATTTGGTCATCTAGTTTATTCTTCGAACCTTTCAAATATGCTTCGACCCTCCGATTTGGACCCTTTTGTGTTTGGATTGGACTGATTTTGGTGTTGTTGGTTCCGTCTGACATTTAGTTTGAATATAAGTTTGCTGAAATTGGAGTTTGGATGACCCCAAATTGGAGTCAACTCATATATGTTTTAAGATTCGTGTCTGATCAAAATGATTTTTGGTGACGTATCACTATTATACAGTAAGTGTATTATATCTTTATAAGTTTTAAATGAGTTAGCTAGTAAACTAATTGAGTCAATTTAGAGCTGCCCCAAATTTAATTAGTTAACTCATAGAGCTCTGCTAATTGAGTGGGCTTAAAAAATTAAATTTTTGCAATTGAATAGCAATAGAAACTCAGTTCAATCTCAGTTCTTGCTTTTTGTTCTCATTGATCAATAATTGTGCTTACGATCACAACAAAATAGTATTTTGGATGAGCAATCTTAGACGCCCATTTCAGCTTTTCTTCTAATAAATTAAAATACTCTTTTGTCGTATTGAATATTTTTCATTTCAATTATTGGCTAAAAGAGCAAAAGTTGAGCGAGAAATATATTCCAGCTGATTAAATATTAAAGTTTTAAATGAAATATATTTAAATGGCCAAATTTATTAAATGGGATTTTTAATAAAAATTGATATTTTAATATTATTTATGTTTTTTTCTTATGAAACTGTATGGTTTGCTACAAATGAAATTGCAAATAAAATGAAATATAGTATAAATAAATTTTATATATTTAAAATATTTGGAATTGTTTGCATAAATGTAAATAATATCATATGAATATCTTTTTAACTTGAAGTAAAATGAATTCATGATAGTAGTCATTGGGACTATAGTTGATTGTGGCAAGTAGGGGTGTCAATTTCGGGTCACGGGTCGGGTTCGGGTCAAACCCGGAACTGACCCGGGTTCAAACGGGTCAACCCTAACCCAACCAGGATAGGTAAACGGGTCGAAAATGCCAACCCGAACCCGATCAGGCGCATTGCCGGGTTGACCCGACCCGACCCATTAAGGTTGGCTGGCAGCCTCGCGCGCAGGCACGGATGCGCGGGCTGCACGGCGAGGACACGAGCGGCTCTGCAGCGGGCGTGGTGCGACTAGCGC